GGAGCAATCGCTCACTGGCTGCTACAGGATGTTTCTGCTGCTCTTGTCGCCTCTGCCAGCGTCAGCTCCAGAGCCAGAAACGCCAGGTAACGTGGAGCGAGAGCAGGGCAGGAAAACGCCCCGTCCACAGCGGGCCCCAGAGACCCCGGGTCTGGCGCCGCCAGGAGAGGTTCGAGCTCACGGTGCCGCTAGCTGAGGCTGAGACCTGCCCGGCTGAGGAGGATGCAGCTCTGGGGACAGAGAAAGGTGCTCCAGTGCCGCGGCAGGGGCAAAGCGGCCGAGAGGAGCCGCACGGTGCCGGGAAGGGGCCCTGGGTGTCCCCAGGCAGAAGAGGGGCAGGGGAGGGAAGAGGGGAGACGAGAGCAGAGGGGGAGCACAGGGCGTTGGGGCTCTCCAGCCCCTCCACAGCCTGTTGTTACCTTTCAATCTCAACCCTCTAATTACTGAATTTCCTCTCAGATAAACTGCCTTCTCCTCCCCCCTGCCCCAAGCTCCTGCAGGGAGGATCCAGCAGGAAGGATTTTCCCTCTAGTGGCTATTTTAATCTTACTTTTTGTTTGCTTGGCGTTTCATTTGTTTGCTTGCTTGTTTGTCGAGCTACCCCCTTAGTTACAGGACTGGGTTTTGCATACTCTGGAAATGCCTAAGGTTTTCACTCAAGCTTTTCCTGCCAACAGAGATCCCTCTGCGCACAGCCGCAGGGCCTGGGCTCCGCGCGGTTTCCGTTCCCGCAGCAGCTCAGGCGCTGGGCTCCCACCTTATTCTTAACAAGTCAGCTCCAATTCCTCCTGCTAAAAGATTCACGTTGCAAAGGACAAAAGCAACATATGGGCCAACAAACGCTCTAGCTTGCGCCTAAAAGCAGCAGCTTGAAACATGCCTCTGAAATAGCTCTTCTAGGGCCCTCATATTGCATGATGGAGCGCAGGTTCCTCAAGGGCTCAACGCCCCTCATCCCTGCCCAGCTGTCCCTGAAGGAAGTTGAAACCTAGAGGGAGCTTTGGGGGACCAATATCACCATCCATAGGTATATTCAAAACCTAGCAGAGTAGCACCCTGAGAAACTTAGTCTAGCTTTGCAGCAGACTAACTGCAATGGCTGGAGGCTCACAGAGGGCTGGGAGGCAGGAACTGGGTGCGATTGCCCACCAGCAGGGCAGGAGCCTAGCCCACCTATCCTGCTCAGTACCTGAGCAGGGCAGCTCCACGCCTGGGACTCCAGGGATGTCCATGGGAAGTAGGCAGGGCTGAGGACAAGCCAGGGTCTGGATCAGCAGGGTCCATAGCCAGGCACAGCTGGGGCCAAGCTGCAGAGCAGTCCTGCTCTATCAGAGCTGGGGAAGGGGCTGAGGGTCCTGGGCTGAGCTTAAATAGAGCCCGGGGCCACAGGCAGGGGGATGGGTGTGGGTCTCAGGTGGGCTGTTCAGAGCTGTCAATGCCTATTAGTGCTGACAGGAGCCAGCTGGAGATCTCCAGAAGGTCCCTCCAACCCCAGTTTCTCTGTGATCCAGTTTCCCTGTTTCTCCGGATGGGGAGGAGGGATTGACAAAGTGCTCCAAAGAAACAGGTCAATAAAGGATGTCTCAGCCTCCTTTCTGCATCAGGGATTGCTAAGGAGCTTTTGAGACCTGCAGTCTGCCTGGCCGGCATTCACGTGAACGAAGCATGGCAAGAAGGTGCTGTTGATCTGAGTTCTGGGTCGCTTTTATGTCCAGGCAGTGCTCTGCGGATGGCCTGACCATGGCCAGGGAGTGACAGAGACCGAAGCACCTGCTGAAACCTCCCCTGCCATTTCTCTTGTCCCAGCAGGACCCAGTTTAACACCTACCTTTTACCCAAGATTGTCCCAGGCCGCAGGAGGACAGCGAATGGCCACAGTGGATCCGGCTCAGGTAGGGGCTCAAGTTCTTCTGAGGAAGCAGCCAGAAGAGGCAAAGCAGCCCAGGGACAAGGGAGATAAAGGTGGGGGTGGAAAAAAAAGACATCTGCCACCAGCATTTGTGCTGGGGATGGAGAAGCTGGTGGGACCTGAACTTCCCTCATTCCATGACCAAGACTGTGGGCCCGGGAACACCAGAGCACCCTGAGCCGGGGATCTCCTTGCTTTCAGGAGCCAGTGACCTTCGCAGAGGTGGCCGTGTGTTTCGGCAGGGAGGAGTGGGCGCTGCTGGACCCCGCTCAGCGAGCCCTCTACCGGGACGTCATGGTGGAGACCTATGAGGCTGTGGCCTCCCTGGGTAAGGCAGTGCATGAGCTTTTATGGGTCTCGTACTCGGCATATAGGCCCGCGACCCATGTCACCTCCCATGGGAGGGGGGACGTGGACACATAGCTGAGGTGTCAGAAGAGCAACTGTGCCAAAGCCAAGGAACGGCCGTTCACTCTCATCTCCTCTCTTTATTTCCCTTAAGCACAGTTTCCAGTCCCCAAACCTCAGATGATCTCGCAGCTTGAAGAAGGAGGAGATCCCTGGATCCCAGATCTGCAAGGCCCGGAGGAAGTCGCAGGAGATGTCAGCACAGGTGAGGTGTCAGCTAAACCAACTCGGGAACTCACAGCAAACACAGGAAGAGGGTGGAGGTTGGCAAAGACCCTGAGAACCGCTGACGTCAGGCTGGACAATATTTCTTGCTCAGCTTTGGTTTCCCTCTGGGGCCTGGGGAACGTGCTGGGTCTGGATATCCTCTATCTTTCCACAGGTGACAGGATCAAGCAGGAAAAGGAGAGATCTCAGCATGGTGGTTTTGCCCCAAGGGAGCAGAATGGGACTTTAGTCAGAAAAATCGCAAGGGATGTTCCTGGGGGCCAGGAGCAAGGACAACGCAGTGAGAGGCCACTGGGAAACCCCCCAGTAAAGAAAATGAGGAAACCCTTGGACTGCAGAAGGAGACGAAAACAGCCTAAAGAAAGCCGGGCCAAGCGACTCCAGCTGGGGGAAGGACAGAGCACATGCAGTGAGTGCGGGAAAAGCTTCAGCAGCCGATCCCACCTCGTCATCCACCAGCGCATCCACACGGGAGTCAAACCCTACACGTGCCCCGAGTGCGGCAAGAGCTTCAACCAGAGCCCAAACCTCGTGACCCACCTGCGGATCCACACGGGAGAGAGGCCTTACAAATGCCTTGAGTGTGGGAAAAGCTTCACTGCAAACTCCACCTTCATCAAACACCAGCGAATCCACACGGGAGAGAAACCTTACAAGTGTCCCGAGTGCGGAAAAAGCTTCAACCAGAGCTCGGACCTCATTCGGCATCAGAGACTGCACACAGGGGAGAAGCCATTTAAGTGCCCGGACTGCGGGAAACGATCCAGCGACAGCTCAGCCCTTATCGTACATCAGAGAATCCACACGGGCGAGCGGCCCTACAGCTGCCCTGCCTGCGGGAAGAGCTTCACTTGCTCTTCGCACCTCATCACCCACCAGCGGACCCACACAGGGGAGAAGCCCTACAAATGCCCTTACTGCAGGAAGCGGTGCCGCGTCAAGTCGGCCCTCATTATCCACGAGCGGATCCACACGGGCGAGCGGCCCTATAAATGCCCCCACTGCGAGAAGTGCTTCAGTAGCCGTTCACACCTGAATTCTCACCAGCGGATACACACGAAAGAGAAGCGCCGTAAAAACCCCAGCGGGGAGAAAAACGTTAGCAAAGTGTCCCCTGTTATTGCACATTAGGCAGCTCGCGCCAGGGAGAGACAGTCCGAATTTCCTGAGCCGCTCGGAGAGGCCGTTTCTGCCAGGTGCCGCATCTTTTCGGTGGCGACGGACCAGGGCTGAGCAGGGCTCCTATCCAAAGGGGAATGGTGGAAAAATGTATACAACGTTTGGGGTGGAACTTTGACTTTTTTTTTTGAAAAAAAAAAATCAAAGAGAGAGAGAGTTTACAGAGCTGTACATTTTTAATAAACATAATGGTAAACAATAACAAAACTGGGCACTGTGTGATGCTGGGGTGTCCGTTCTGTGGGCTGGGCTGTGTTGGTTGTGTCGCTGATGACTGAAAACGTTCAGCTGTGTCTTTTGGAGGGCAACCCAGACAAGGGTCAAGGGGAATAAATCTGACCACCACGACCATCCCAGCATGCAGAAATGGTCCATCAGATGCTTTAAGACAGTAAATGGCCATGTTGAATAGATGCATCTTTCTCTACGTGCCTGAATCCATCAGGCCTGGCCACTCCTTCATTAAGACAAGCTGGTCCTGATCCCTTACAGGGACTGGAATAGAAAACTAAATAAATGACAGCTAATGAGGTTAGATCCGTGCTGGAATCTGGGTGGACTGAGTATCTCATTCCTCGTCAGAGGTAAGAGGGATGCTGGGATTTACAAAGCTGGTGTTCCCCCAAGGCTTGTGTGCGCCAACGCTGCTGCCCACGCGGCAGAGGCAGGAGCCCATCTCTGTCCCCAGCAGCTGCGGCGTCTGCTGGGCCCTTTGGGGGATCCCAGCTTCGCCCTTCTTTGGCCTATGTTTTCCGTGATGGTTGAGTTGTACACCTCTTGGGCACTGCCTTTCTTCTCCTCTGTGGAAATTAGGCATCTTCCGGAAAACAGGAAATCCTGCAGCAAGGATGATTGATTCCCAGGATCTCTGGGGTCTATGATGTTGCAGGGAGCCTTTCTTCTCTCCAGGAAAGCCGACTCTCATGAAACTTGCAGCATGTTATTAGCTTTCCTTTCACATTAGAATTAGCCCACCAGTGGAGGGAAGAGCAAACACACATCGCCCTCCCAAAACCCGATCCGTTTGGAGCCGCACCTGAGGGTCAGCGCTGCCCCAGGGGAGGCTGCAGCCCCAGCCTCCTTGCAGGACTCATCCCCGGGGGGGCCCAGCAGCAGGAGCCTCGAGGGGCTCCGGGGGGGACACGGTGCGGCGGATCCGGCCCCGAGCAGGGCCCTGCTCCCTCCTGTTTATCTTCCTGGGTCACACGCTGAGGCTGCTTCCTCCACGGTGAGCGGGCACCAGCTGGGGAGGGGGGAGCGTGCGGGGAGCACCCGGGGTTGGAGCGCCCCGGAGCGGGGAGCGCCCGGTCCCACTGCCGCATCACCCCAGAGCACGAAGCGCCTGGTTCCCATCCCGGTCCCGCAGCACCCCAGAGTGGGGAGGGCATCACCCCGGAGGCAGCCCGGAGCACCCCGGTCCCGGTGCTGCATCATCCCGGAGCACCCGGTCCTGGTGCCACATCATCCCGGAGCCACCCCGAAGCACTCGGTCCCAATGCTGCATCATCCTGGAGCCAGCCCGGAGCGCCTGGTCGCGGTCCCGCATCACCCCGGAGCGCTCCGATCCCGGTCCTGCAGCGTCTGCCCAGGGCCGGAGCGCCCGGGCTGGGCTGGAGCCCCCCCAGCCCCCGGGATATCACCTGCCCTCAGCCCAGGCTCTGCTCCCGCCACAGCCTGCAGGTAACTGGGGTCCCGCCCTCCGTCCTCTGCCCCTTCCCCTCCGCGTCCGTGGGGCTGCGCCCCTGGGAGGGACGGAGGTGGAGGGAAGGCAAAGGGTGATGCGGGAGGGTAGATGCAGGGAAACTATTTTTTATCCTAATTTGAAGCACCCGCTCCACACAAGCCCTGCAGATTCCTGCTTTGCCCGAGACCAATAACCCAAATTATCTTCCTCCTCCCCAAACCTTCCCTGTTCCCTTCTTTCCTTTGGTTATCTGACACTGGGAAAAGTCCTCCCCAGGATCCCTATTTTTCTCTTTTACCACTTCATCAGCTTTAGGAGAATTGATGTTCAGAGCCACTGGCTCAGTAAAATACCAAGTCGCAAAAGCTGGCAGAGAGAGACAGAGATGGGGAGTTATCTCGGAGAAATCCTGTTTGAAATAACCCCCTGCAGAACAAGCTCCCTCTCCTGAAACCCCGAAGACATGGTTTAGCCCAGTGCAGATAACAGGGAGCATTAGGCACAAGCAAAAATGTTTTCTGGCCTGTGTTACTCAGGAGCTGCACAGGAGGTGGTACCGTGAGCCAAGCAGTGGCAGAGAGCTGGAAGATACAACCTCATTCCTCAGACAGCTGAGCCTGGAAAGCCACCCATGGGTGTAGGACAGATGGCAGCGCCCCTGGGTACCACTGGCTGTGACGTGTGGTGGACCAGGATCTGAGGGCAGCCCAGAAACCCTCCCAGAGCTTAACTTGGTCTCCAGGTCACAGGTGTCCACTCTGGAATAGGAGGTTAGAATTGGGATCTCCAGAAGTTCCACCCAAACTGAAGCTTTCTATGAATCTGGGCAACCATTCCCTTCTTTGAAATCACATTTCCTGTGGTGATCAGTGGAACAGAAGCCTCAAGGATGGGATGAAAAAGGGGCAAAGGATGATAATGAAAGGGGCTGCAAAGGGACGGGGCAATCTGCAATGCCAACTGATGGCTCTCCGATCCTCACAGCGGGCTCTTGGGGCAGAGAGCACTGAGCCGAGCTCTGTTGCTGTTTCAGGAGCCCATGAGCTTTGTGGTGGCAGCTGCATATTCCAGCCGGCAGCAGTGGGGTCTGCCAGACCCCCGTCAGCAAGCCCTCTGTGGGACATCATGCAGGAGAACTACGAGGCCGTGGCCTTGCCGGGTAAGGAGTCCCGTCCCCCGGGGTGCTAGGGATGCTGGAGTCCCTCTAAGGGAAATCGGAAGCCCAGGGGCAGATTCATCCACACCATCAGCTCTCTCAAGACAGCAAAGACCGCGTTTAGCTGCTATTAGCAATGGGAACGCAGGCACCAGCCCCCTGTTCCCAAGCCAAGGCAGGTAAAGCTTTAACTGTGCATCCACGACTGAGTCAACGAGACTCCCCCAGACTCAGAAATGACATGGCAAGAGAGAGAAAACAGCCAGGATTCCCATGGGGGTGCTGAGGAAACCCTCCCGTTTTCACTTCAGCTGACCTCAACCAGCCAGCCCCTGCCATGGCTTGTGACCAGCATCCTTGGGATTTCCCCCTCATTTGGCTAGACCATAGCTCCCTTCCTGGCTTTATTTCATCCTGAGCATTTGGGGCAATAAATTCCCCCTTCCTCCTTGGCATAGGAATTACATGCATCACTCTATTTCAGCTGGAGATGGAGTGCTGAGCGAACATGAAAAGGAGAGTCCGGAGCAGGATGTTCCCAGGCAATTGGAAATGCGTGGGATGGAGACCGGTAGATCAGAAGAGAGTTTTTCCCAGAGCTGTCCTCAAGGAAAAGCCAGGGGAAATCATCCTTGCTCAGAGAGACAGTGGGGATCCCCCTCAGTGAAGCCATCAGACAAACCCATCCGTTGCGGAGCAGGAGGCGAGGACCCCCATGAAACCTCGGCTCAATTGAAAATCCATGCGGAGGAAAGAAAATACGCTTGCACAGAGTGCGGGAAAAGCTTCAACTGGAGCTCGCATCTCATTCGACACCAGAGAACCCACACAGGTGAAAGCCCCTATGAATGCCTCGACTGCGGGAAGAGCTTCAATCGGAGCTCGAACCTCCTTAGACACCAACGAACCCACACGGGAGAGAAACCCTACAAGTGCTTCGACTGCGGGAAGAGGTTCATTCAGAGCTCGGAGCTCATCACCCACCAGCGAATCCACACAAGGGACAAGCCTTACCAGTGCGCCGACTGTGGGAAGAGCTTCAGCCACAGCTCGAACCTCATCAAGCATCGGAGGATCCACACCGGGGAGAAGCCGTACGAATGCCTGGACTGCGGCGAGCGCTTCAACCACAGCTCCAACCTCACTAAGCATCGCCGAATCCACGCCGAGGAGAAACCCTACAAGTGCCTCGAGTGCAGGAAGGGCTTCACTCAGAGCGCAGAACTCGTTGCCCATCACAGACTGCACGTCGAGAAGAAATCCTATAAGTGCACTGAGTGCGGGAAAAGCTTTAACCACAGCTCCAACCTGATCAAACACCAGCGGATCCACACAGGCCAGAGACCTTACAAATGCCTGGACTGCGGGAAAAGCTTCATCCAGAGCTCAAACCTCATTAAACATCGGCGAATCCACACAGGAGAGAGACCCTTCAAGTGTCTCGCCTGTGGGAAAAGTTTCATCCAGAGCTCCGACCTCATTTCCCATGAGAGAACCCACAGCGGAGAGAGACCCTGAGGGTGCAGGAGACCCCAGAGAGACTTTGCGTCGTGCAGGGAAAGCTTCCAAAGGAGGCACCATCCCCACAAGGAACTTGCATCCCTGTTAAGTTGACTTTAACCAAAAAAATGGGAAAAATACACATGAAGGGGGATTTTCTTCTGCTTTTGCTGCAGGCAGTTTTTAACCTGTTTCCTAAGGAAATGAGGCTCTGTGGTGATATTGTGCATATGTGTCCGTACGCCTGTGTTCCTCTTTTGGTAACTTTTGAGCCTGCTGCTTAATCTGATACAAGGGCCAGGATATTAGTAACACAGTGGTCTTACAGGTTGATTGGAAATAACCTACCAAGGGGAAAAAAGAATCCTACATAATGCTCTCACTGAGCAGACAAGTAATAAATTTACCCATTTATTAGACGGAGATTACACATGGATGAGAACAATGTTCAAAACAAAGATGTTTCTTCCGCCACTTAGAAAACTGAGATAGTTAAATTCCTGGTACAATAAATGCCTTTTCTGGAGGTGTAAAAGGGGAGGGGGGCGGTCATGAGCTCAAAGCAAGCCAAAATCAGGCCTTGGCTGACACAGAAGTGTGGATGGCAGGAAAGCATGGAAAGCACGAGTTTAGCCATCCACAAAAGCCAATTCCCCCCTCTGGTTAGCCAAGCTTCCCAGCAGCAGGGGCTGGAAGCATCTCAGACCTGCCAGGGTACAGGCTGTTCCTGGCATCACTTCCAGCTCCTGCCTCCTCCAACCTGGGGGCCAGCGAAGGCCTTTGGAAAGGCTACAGGTACAAATTGCCTGCTGTTGCCTAATTTACAAGGCTAGGTGAAGCCAAAGAGGCTTCCTGGGACACCAAGGCTAGCACATTAGCAGCGAGGATGAGCTGTTCCGACTTGTCACAGCTACCTGCTTGAACATTGTTCCTTATTCAAAGGGTTTCAGGCAAGGACACGGCAAGGGCAGGACACCTCTGTGCAAAAAGGAGGAATAGAGCTCCTGGCTGGGCTGTGATTCATGCTCTTATCTGGGAGCAGCTTTCTGGACACATATGTTTGCTTTAGGATAAGCTCAGAGATAGTCCTTTGCTATTTGCTGTTATTCCAAGCCTGACAGCTTGTCAGCACTTTTAAATGCTCTCTGGTCCCTGCTGTTCAAAAATGAAAGCCTTGTGGCCCCGGATTTCACGTTTGGAGGATGGAGCAACCCCAACGAGCCAAACACGTAAGCAATGCAAATGAGGCCTCTTTTGCAAAGGCTGCCGGCTGCTCTGCACCGGGAGGGGAATCGCAGGCAGGCTCATTCAGCCAGCGCTCGCACACAATGCCAGCCTACGTAACGAGCCTGGAAAAAAAATATATCAGTCGCATGCACTTGCTGGAAGTGGGAGGAAACACATACACACACACCCAGCCCCTCTCTGCTGCTCAGAGATTGCAACGTGCAACAGGCTTCCCCGCAGGCAGCCTCCTCCCGGCTCCTCGCACACAACTCCTCCGCTATTTCTGCCATGCTGCCCAAGACGTCCCCACGCCGGGGAAGGAGCCGTCTGCGTTTGGGCTCTGCCAGCATGCCGTGATACAGCCCGGGCAGAAACGAGGCACCAGGGAGGACTTCTAGCAGGCAGAGGAGGCAGCCAGACCTTGGCCATTTCTGCTCTGACCTTGGAGGGTTTCTGCAAGGCTCCTTGCAGCTATAGCTTTGCATCTGCCCAGCTCAGCTCCACCCTCCAGACTTCGAAACCCTAAAGCAGGAAGCGGACAACAATTTCTGTAAGCTCTGGAGCCCCACAGGAACTCGCCTGTACCATGGCTGGTGCTGCGTTTCTGTTAACCCTCCACGCTCCAAGTGAGCTGAAGTGACGATATCTCAGCCCAGCTCCTGAGGAGCGATACCTTCTCCTTCCCAGGGAGCAGGGATCTGGTCCGGTGCAGGACAGGTACAGTAGGACCCTGGGGGAACACAGGACATCTGGGTTTGGTGGTACAGAGAGTGCTTGGAGAGAGGTCCCAACCCATGGGAAACGTGGGCTGCTTGGGGGACACCACCGGTTGGTGTTTAGGGTGTTATGCTAAGAGCCCTCACAAGCAGCTGGGGGACTGGGGGATCCTCAGCACTGTGGGAATCCCAGCTGAAGCTGGGAGGTGTTTTTAAACTGGAACCAGTTAAGCCCTGCCCTGAGATGTGACACATGGGTATCAGGCACATCACCCCACCACCACCCCGGGCCCCTCCAAAACACGATCCCTATTTAGCAGCTTTGTATCACTCCATCCTCAAAGGAGGACAGGAGCAGCCAGAGGGCTTTTCCTGACTCTTTGCCCCAAAACCTAGATTTCAATTTTCAGGTTTCCCCCCCACCTTTCAAGGAAAATTGCAATTTTGATATCCCCCTCCCCCCACTTTTAACTTGCTGGCTTTCCTCTCTGCTTTGCAGGAAGCCCTTCCAAGGAAGGCATGAGCTCCCACGGAGTCATGACTGCAGTGTCAGATCTGAACCTGGGAGTGGGAACAGATGCATTGCAGATGTCAAAATGGTCGTTCTCCCTTGTGTAGGTGGGATAGGGTCCACGGAGATGGGGGACCTCCACCCTTTGAGGTATCAAAACTCACCTGGACACAGCCCAGAGCTACCTGATCTCACTAACCCTGCTGGGAGCAGGGGTTGAACCAGAGACCCCATCAGTCCCTTCCAACCTAATTTTTACCGACTCCTGTCTGGTTCTCCGGGTTTTTATAATCCAGCTCTCTACAAAGAACAAATTTGAAAATGATATTGCTAATACACTCAGCCTTACACTCATTCATTTCCCCCCCACCTCCATCTTTTCCCAGTGAAGTTGGATGTGAAGATGTTGGTTTCCTCATTCTCCTGTCTTCCATGCAGCAGTTTTGTCCTGACTTGGGTCCTAATTTTCCTCTCTGGTTTTCATATTCACAAGTTGGATTCTGGTAAGGGTCTCTGTTGTTTTTCCTCCTTACATGTCATTCATTCCTTGTTATAATATATTTTTTTTCTGCTTGTAAATACTGTGTAAAAGGTGATAGATCCTGAAAAATACCTGTGGGAGCAGTTAGCATGATGTTCTTGAGGTATTAAGAGCTCAGCAGAAGTATTCAGCCTCAGCAAATAACTCAGGATTTCTGACCCCAGCCCAGCTCAGTTCTAGGTCCTGGGGGACATCCATTTGCCCAGATGGTGCAACAGCAGAACTGCTCATGCCAGCATATGTCTGATAGACATGTTTTCTTCTCCTCCTCCGCCACCTTTCCAGCCCAATTCAGAGTCCTAGGATCTGAACATCCCATCACTGCTGTCGTGGGAGGAGATGTCGTGTTGCCCTGCCACCTCTCCCCCAGGCTGAATGCTGAAAACATGGAGGTGAGATGGTTCCGGTCTCGATTTTCTGTCTACGTGCACCTCTATCACAGCAGACAGGACCACTACTCATCCCAGATGCCTGAATACCATGAGAGGACAGAGTTTTTGAAAGAGGGCATCTCTGTTGGAAATGTTTCCTTGCGGATCCTCAGAATCAGGCTGACCGATGAGGGACAGTATCAGTGCCTCATTAAAGATGGAAATTTTTATGAAGAAGCCACACTGGAGCTGAAGGTAGCAGGTAAAAACCAGGAGTCAGGATTGCCTACAGACTGGGCTTCTGGCATTTCTCATTTGCCCATTGCAACTCAGAAATCCCTTTTGCCTTTTTTCTACTTGAAAACTCAGGTCCCAGTGAGCATATCCCTGTCCCATAAGGCCTCACATCCCTGCAGAACATGCACTGCCCCAACATCAAACCTCTGAGACCCCCCCCAAATACAGCAACACTGTCCTCTAACCCAGGAGATAACTCTCAGCTGCCCCAGGCCAACCATCTCAGGCCACCACTGTGGCTTTGCCTCTAGCTGGTTTGCCTCAGAAAGAGATCCCATGGAAGAACCGGGAGATAAGTTATTTGACAGCACAGCTGTACCCAAAGATATATCCTTGTGCACCTTGTCCTGTTATGAAGGTAGTGTCTTCCAAGCTGTCCCAAGGTGGGACATGAGCAGACAAACCGCTCTCTGAACAGAAAAGTTCCTAGAGGATTTTTAAAAGATCTCCCCCTACTCTGGGATGGAGATTTCTAATACTTGCGTGTAACTGGGTTTTTTTGTCCTAGTTTCAGGTTCCAGTCCCCTTCTGTCTGTGGAGGATTACCAAGATGGAGGCATCCGAGTGGGATGTCGAGCAATTGGCTGGTACCCAAAACCCGAGATGCTGTGGAGAGATTTCCAGGGGCAGCAGTTCCCTTCACTTACTGAATCGGACTCCCAAGACAAGAACGGCTACTTTGAAGTAGAGAAGTCTATCATTATCCAAAAAAACATGAAGCAAAACATGTCCTGCTCTATCAGGAACACGCAACTCAACCAGGAGAAAGAGTCAACCATTTACATATCAGGTCAGTTACCACCAGAATGAAGGTTTAAAAATTCTTACCAGAGAAATATTCAAGCTCTCGGATCAGCCAAGGAGAAGAAACAGCTATTTCTAAATCCGCTTCCATCAAAAGCAAATATTCTATCAGGTCCTCACACCACCCAAATGAAAGCATGGCCAGGTGTTTGTGTAACTGCATCCACTCCCACGCACATGTATGCATATAGTTTCATGTCCCAGATTAATGCAGCTTTGATAATTTCCTCTTTCAGATCCAATTTTCCCAAAGGTCTCTCCCTGGACGGTAACTTTGGCTGCTACCCTGGCTGTCTGCTTAGCTTTGTTCATTGCCCTGTTCGTTTTCATTCTCCGACTTCAAGGTAAGGCGTTAGAAGAGTAAACACCAATGCTAAGATTGTATTTGAGAGTTTCACACCAAACCGAAGCGATGGGGGTCTGCTCAATGCCCCCAGACATTCCAGACCGCTTGCTAGAGCCCTTCTCCTATGTTCTGAGGAAACAGCAACCTTTAAACCACGTGACTTTGCCTGTTCTCTCTTACAGCCAGGCATGCTGCTGAACTCGGTAAGAGACCTTCTTCCCCCTTATCTAAAGGGATGAGGTACCCAAAGAGGGGGTGGGCCTGCCTTGGTTTCACACGTTTGCATGGGGGTTTTACAAATTGGCCTTCAAAACAGTGTTTGCTAGGTAGCGCCACACCAAAAAGTAATTTGAAAGACTTTGAGTGACCAAAAAAGGACTTGCAAGTCCAAGCCCCTCCACCAAATAAGTAAAAGCTCCTTTTTTCCCTGACAATACCAAGTTTCTCAGTTAATTTACTCCTGTTCAAGCTTCTGCACAAATCTCTGTACCCCAGGCAGATTTTAATCACTGATTTTTCTGCAATTGATGTCAAAAAGGAAACTTCCTGTAACATTTATTTCTGCTCTTGTTTTCAGAGAGACGTGATGCAGAAATTAGTAAGTATAGTGGTTCTGCCCTTACTTCTGTGGAGAAAATAAGATCTGCAGACGAATGCTTGTTTAACTGCATGATGGGCGTTGATAAGCCAGTGGGAAGGAAGTGCTACTTTTGCTGGTAACTTGAGGAACAAATACAGTGCATGACTTAACCTGAATGGGTAAATTTGGGTAACCAGCCTCAGGGAAAAAACAGGCCTCTATTTTGGTGCAGTAAACCTCTGAGGAGATGGCCTGCGGTTCCCCAAGCCCATCTATAGCCCACACGTTTCCAGTAGTTTAATCAACTTTGGTGAAACATATGGTTTACAAGGGGGCTGCTCGCTTACTTTCAGAGGAATAAAATTCAAGCTTGCTTTTCTCCCAAAAGACAATCTGAAAGAGCGATAATTCACAGTTCTTCTTCTCCCTCCCCTCGAATTAAGATAATTGCCAGCTTTGATTGCAACATGGCTAATGAAGTGGCAAAGAAAAACAGACAAATATTTTTGTGCTGGGAATAAGAGCATGCAGCCCACCAAAATCTCCTTTATTACAGTCACTTCAGAAGTTTCTCCCAAGCCAAGTCTGCAGCCTCTCCTTGCAATATAAATCCAACCTGGATTCGCCCAATTTGACCAAAGTACTTGCCTCTACTAACAATGTGTTCGTTGTGCTTTTGTTTCAGAGAAACATACCGCAGAACTTCGTAAGTTTAATCCTTGGCTCTCCCCCAATTTGCAGAGCTGTGGTCTTCCAAACAGCTGTTTGGTGTGGTTTTGCTGCTACAGGCTAAGACCCCACCAGCGCTGTTTTGCAAAACATTCCCAGGGTCTGAAAATGACGGATTGGCACAAAAAGAACCACACAGCTCCACATTGCCAACCTGATGCAGTGCATTTCCACTTTGAAGGCAGCATTTCTATGGCGAATTAAATTGAAGCATGCCTGGGACTGTTCTGCAGGCCACTGGCCCAAAGCACCCCACATCCATGCTCCTCTGCTAGCATGCCTGCTTGTAACCACGTGTGCTTGCTTTCAGGGTGGAGAAACACCATCGTCCCAGTGGAAGAAGGTACCTCAACTTTGTATTTTGCCTGTGCTTGGGTCTCTTCCCTGGAGAGGGGCTGGTGGGAATGGATAGTGCAGAGCTGAGGCCAGCTCTGCTTGAACATCTGACCCCTCCATCACACCAATGCACAGCTAGTCTCTTGCTTATATGGTAGTTCCTGCTTCCTGTTCTGTTTCCTCTGCCCCACTAACAAAGCCCTTCTCTATTTTGGCTGCTGCTGAAGGTCTAGGGAATGACACCAGCCAGCAGGCTGGTGCCAGCAGCGTTCAGGGTGAGCTTCTCTAGAGCACATCACCAAGCGCACGTGGCAGCACTGTCAGGATTTCTTGCTTTCCCCACTGCCACCTCCCCAGGAGACAAACCCAGTCATTTATTAAGGCTACACCTAAACTAATTGCGATTAGGTCTATTCTCTGCATAGACTGGCATAGAACAGCCCATATCCACACTTAATTTCCTTAAGTCCTCAAACAGGGCAGCCATATCCAAACTGCTTATCAGGAACAGTCCCTGGCCTCTGCAAGCTCCCAGACAGTGTCCAGGCATCATCTGGGCAGTGCTTGCTGGCCTGGGACACACCTGTGTCAGGGACCATGCTGAAGACACCAGGAGAGACCACCAAGGTCTAGTGCCAGGGCACATGCCCTGGCACTGCTGAGTACACGAGGTGTCAGCCAGACCTGCCCCAAAACATTGCTGCAAGGGGAATAAGTCTTAGCTCAGAGCTGCTCTAGATGAATCGTAAAGGTAAGCACTCCTCAGCTGCTCTCCTTGTGCAACGGACCTCATCACGGACACCCCCAGCCTGCTGCTGAGCTTTGCTGTCCTTTGCCTCTCCCTGCAGTGCACGTCACTCTGGACGCGGACACGGCTCATCCCCAGCTCATCCTCTCCGCAGATGGGAAGCACGTGAGGCGGGGAGACACACGGCAGGCCATGCCTGACAACCCCGAGAGATTTGATACCTACCACTGCGTCCTCGGCCAGGAGGGATTCACCTCAGGGAGATATTTCTGGGAGGTGGATGTGGGGACTGCAGAAGGGGGGGTCTGGGCAATGGGGGTGGCCAGGGAGTCCATGAAGAGGAAGGGATGGATTAACCCAGCCCCTCAGGATGGGATCTTGGCCATTTTCCAGTGCGGGGGCCAGTACTGGGCTCTAACTTCCCCTGACCATAAACCTCTCAACCTCACCCAAATTCCCCAGAGGATTAGAGTTTACCTGGACTTTAAAGAGGAGAAGGTGGCCTTTTTTAACACTGACAACAAAGACCTGCTCTTCACTTTCCCACTGGCCCCGCTGAGCGGGGAAAGGATTCGTCCCTGGTTCCGCGTGGGGCCAATCGCCCAGCTCAGCCTGATGCCAGCTCCGCTGCTCCCACATGCCCCCAGCACAGAGGAACTTCTGCTCCCTTCAGACTTCCCTCTGCAGAGCCTCTCCAAGGTGCCCAGCGGGTGCCTGACCCCGTGCACACCAGGGAGCAGGAAGTGACAAACAAGGCAAAAATCTGTGCTGCCTATAAGCATGCACCCAAGGCTGCTCCAGCCACCTTCATCATCCACAAGTGTCTCCACCTGAGCTGAGCTACCTGGGACAGTCTGCAACAAGAAGGAGCAGTGGCCAAGACAATTTTCATGCTCCCAAGGTGATATCTCCAAGCAAACTGCTTACCCCTAGAAGGTCTTGTTGCAACCTTTGGCCATCCTACCTGACACATGGAAGGAAAACCCCTCTGTGCCAATGGCAAGACCGGGAAGGAGGAGCTGTGCATCTTTTCTTTTTCACTTTAATTCCATTCCCTAAGTCTGGTGAAACTCAGCCTGTGAAGTGGAGTTGCAAGGGCCAATGTTGTCTGTTGTGTGGGTCCACGCAAGGAGCCATTTCAGTAGTGGGGAGATGGGCAGTGCTCATCTTCTGATGTCTAATATTGCTTTCCAAGTGTTGTGATGTGCTCACATGTGTTTTAAAGAGATACTATTTATATTAAAAATGATATTCCCTTTGTATTTTTGGTTATTAACATCCTTGAGTTATTTGGAGGCTGCAAATAGCATAGCCTTGGCAGGAGACTTTGATCCTTCCCCCCTCTGAAAAGAGATTATGGGAAAGCATTCAGGCTAAGAGAATGGGGTGAAGGCAGGTGTCAGAGGTTTGCTCTGGGGTAGCAAATGACAGAGGTCAAGCCACAATCTAGCATTTAGAGTCTACACACTGCTGCTTCAGAAAACTTTCAGTTAACCTCAACCTCTGTTTTTGGTTGAGGATGCAAGAACGCCATGCTGCCTGCACAAAACCCCATTGCATCCAGCTCAGTGATAACACCCAGAGAACCTGCACAGGGACAGGACAAGGAGCTTAGACATCAAGTTGAAGCAAAACACGTGTACCTTTCCAATTTGGTGCATGGTCATGGCAGCCCTAGGAGAACCAGGTGGCTCCATTTTTGTCCCTCGGGGGGTGTCCCATTGGCTCGGCACCCTGTGTGGGCTCTCACCACCTTCTCCCTGGCTAGGTCTCCAGCAAGGAACCTGTCTCAGCCTAAAGCACAAGGGCTCCCAACCATCAGAGCGCAGCAAGGGCTGGCAGCTCTGTAACGGACAGGGAGACAAGCACAACTACCCAGCAGCAAGGCAGGGTCTCACCAGCCAGGGCCCATCCCACAATACCTGAGTGGGGTGAGCAGGGCAAGGTCAGGGAAGGCAGCCTGGTTCAGCTGAGCATCCAGACCATCAGGTGAGTTCATGGCAATGAGGCAGGTCCAAGGTCAAGCTGGGAAGCCAGTCCTCAAGTCAGGATCATCAGAGGCCACAGCCAGGCTGGGGCATGGCTGTGACAGAGCTGGAGACCAACCTTCCTACAACACAGTTTGGGAAGAGACCAAGTGCCCAGTGCTGAGCTTAAATAGAGCCCCTGGGCCTTGGGAAGGGTGTGGGTGGGTGAGGCTGCTCAGGGCCATTAAAGCTTATTAGTGCCCCTCAGGGCCCTAATACCAGCTGCCTGTGACCAAGCTGCTTCTCTTGATCTTTCTGCTGGTCACATCTGCCGATGCTGTGGACTTCTCCAATACTCCTGCAGGTCTCAAAAGGTGCTTTGCACACATGCTGAGGCAGCCAAGCAGCACCAAGATCCCTTTGACCGTCACAGGAGTTCAGACCTTGGCTCTCCCAACCACGCAGCACCAAACCCATGTGCAGAACTGCATCCCATTGCAGCACGCACTCCTCCTGCCTAACGCAATTAAAGGAGGCTCACAGAGGACATGACACTGCCTCCTCCTGGTATGCCTGTTGCTTCATTTTTTTCTCTTCGAATCCACAGATGAACCAGAAAATAAAGCTATTATTGAATGAGCGCTAGTCCTGGAATTTCCTGCAATGCTGGAGGCATCTACTGGTGACTCGTACACTGCGGTGCATGCTTTGCACATGTCTGTGTTTGCACCATCAGTGAGGCACTGACCGTAGGTATTCATGGCCAGCTGATGCATTAAATCCTAGACAGCAAAAGGCTGAGGTATGTGTGCCAAGATGCACACCTCTGTGCGTGTGTATGGAGAGGGGAAGGAGGAACTTTAGGAGCTGAAAGCACTATGAACAGACACAGCCAGTCTCTCCACCTTCTCTCCAGGTTGTGTCTTGAGCTTATCAGCTGCCTCCACGAAAAAATACCCCTCTTTGGGAGGCGGAGTGGTGCAGTCGGGCTGGCACAGTTTTGCTGTTGAATTCCCCTCTGAATTCAAACCCTGAATAAAATAAAATAAAGAGACCCTGATGCGTTGGGTGCCGGGGTTACAGATGTTCAGAACATCACAATGCACAACATCACTCCTTTCCAGCACACCATGGGAGCGTGCAGATTCAGTCTTAACCGGCTGACCAACAGCACACACGCAGGGTAGTTTGGGGTGAGCAGGACACCGTATCCCTGTCAGCAAGGTCACGTCTGCTTGGGAAAGCTGTTAGCACTAAGGTAAAGAGTTTTAGCCAGCCTCTGCAATGGGATAAAAAGGCCACTGCAGGCCAGGTCTGCACAGGGAAGCCAGGAGGAGGGTGGAGGCAGCGTGCGCTTGGGAGGATTTGGGAGGGCCCCAGCTTGCAGCATCCGCTGGAGCTGCCCACCTGATTGGGCAAGTGCCCGCGGTGGGGGGCTGTAAGGGGTTGAGGGACCCGGGCCGGGCTCAGGGATTCCTGTCACCAGGGGGCTCTGGATGCTGCCAAGGGAGAGGAGGGAGCTGAGGATGCAGGGGATGAGCTTCCTGGGTCAGACGGGGATGTGGGGCTGGGCGAAGCCGCTGTGTGGGGAGGGAACGAGGGTTCCCGAGCACCCCAGAGCCCCCAGAGCCCCCCAGAGCAGGGTGCGCCCGGTGCTGGCACCAGAGCATCCCGGAGTGGGGAGAACCCGGTCTTGGTCCCAGTCCTGACCCCAACCCTACAGCGTCACCCCCGAGGGCTGATCATCCACAAGGCAAGCCACACCGGAGAGCGACCCTACAAATGCCCCGAGTGCGAGAAGACCTTCAGCCACAGCTCAGCCCTCCTGAAACACCAGCAAATTCACATGGGGGAGAGACCCTTCAAGTGCCCCAACTGTGGGAAGCGCTACAATGACAGCTCCACCCTTCAGTGGCACCGGAGGATCCACACCGAGGAGAGACCCTATAAATACCCCTACTGTGGGGAACGTTTCGGGGTGAACTCGGCTCTCCTGAGACATCAGCGGTTCCATACTGAGGAGAGGCCTTATAAATGTCCCGACTGTGGGAAAAATTTCCAATCAAATTCTCTCCTCATCACCCACCAGCGAATCCACACGGGAGAGAAACCCTATACTTGCCCCATCTGTGAAAAACCCTTCCGCCAGAGCTCCCACCTTACAAGACACCAGAAAATCCACACCAGATAGACCAGGGTTGCTTCGGCACTGGACAGTCACATCTCCCGGTCACAGCTGCACACTGAGGAGGTGGGAAAGAGAAAAGCACGTGGACTCTCTCTCGTGGCATCTGTGTCACCATCTCCAGTCAAGACGGGAAGCCCGTGCTTGCCCTCCCCATTTTACCCGGACGTGGGCATTCCCACATGTGCGTCCCTCAGATGAGCGAGGCACCGCGTCTCGGTCATGGGACAGGCGCATCCCCTGCCGGGATGCATCAGCTGTGTGGCTCTGCTAACGAGCATTTAGCCATGGCAGTCCACTTGCCTCCGCACTGCTGCAAAATGTGAGCGATCACCTCAGCTGACTGAAGCCAGAGCCCCTTCCTAAATGCCTGGGCTGTGAGAGTGGGATGTGACAGTCGGCTAATACACACAGATCCAACGCTCCCTTCCAACAGTGCATGGGAGTGAGGATGCGGTTCATCTCCCCCAAGAAGAAAATCTGAAACAGCTTGTGGGGCTCACTCCCGTAGGAGTGCATTTCTCACCATCTATCCTAGAGGTGCAGACAGCCGACTGCGCTATAGCTCCGTATGTGTGAAGATAAGTGAGACGAGTCCCATTGCGTGCACTGTTTTGGCTGGTGTTGACTGTCCGGGATGACTTTTATACAGCTGTTTCCCTATTGCACTTTGGAGAAAGCTCTCCTAAGAAAGAGGGAGCTTTGCTTGCAGACCTGACCTGCAAAACACAAGCAGGTCCCATTGCCTGGGAAACAAATCCGTTTTTGCTCTCTCTAGACCAGCCTGCCTCTCTGTACACAGCAGAGGTACCTAAGTTAGGGCATGGGCTGCCTCTCGCTGGTGCTGAGGTTCTGCCAGTCCCTTCCTCTTGGTGAGGGAGATGGCCCAGACACCAGCAGCCTTTCAGCGGGGAGGTATCGGCAGGGCTGGAGCAAGGAACGCCTGATGTTGATTTGCAGCAGTGCCCAGTCCCTCTGACATCGCCATTCCCCCCCACCTTCTCCTTTCCCTTTCACTTTGGAAACCACACTGGTCTGATCAGGGCTAACCCACATAACTCTCATTTGCCTCAGCTTGTACTCCACCCCAGCGAATCCCAGCGAGAGATGTCATTACTCTTCTCCTTTCTCATGCAGCCAGCTTCTTCTCCCCTTGGAACAGAGCTATCCTTCCATCCCAGGCTCTGCTATCCATCCTTTCAGCCCCCACAAGTATGTCCCCTCCTTTTAGTCCACGAACATTTTCTTCTGTGCCCCCGAAACCTGCAACAGATCCTAGTAGAAACTTGCAGCGGTGGGTAAATAGCAGAGGAGGAGACCCCTGGGGGGCTGTGAAGCCTGGATCCAGCAAAGTGGGGATCTCCGTCCTTGGAGATCCCCATCTCAGTGCAGGGACCAAGGAGACAGTCAACTGGAAACCAGCAACTAACTGGGATTTGTGCCTTGCACCGCACTGCTTGCAGCTGTGGATGTGTCCGTGTGTGCCAATAAATGTTTCTTTCACCACTGCATGATGTCCTTGTTGCTCCAGTGCGGCCGGGAACGCGCGGAGCCTGGGCAGGGGGAGGCTCCTCTGAGAGCCCTTGGGTGACAGGAGGCCCAGAGCAGCTTCGGGCAATTACTTGGTAACTTCATTGGACCAGTTGATTGGGACAGTGTGGAGCTGGCAATCTCTGAAATAAATAAATGGGCCAAGCTCTGCTGCAAAGGGAAAGGATTGGGAGGATCTGTGATATACAGGCCCCACCCAGCGGGCATCTGGAAAATGATGGGAAAGCTGCAAGCAGAGAGGCAGCCTGGGAGGTTTCCTGGAGCCTCTGCATTCATTTTCATGCCTTTTAAGCGGACAAAGAAGTCCATATACTGTGCTGCTGCTTCCTGTGACTTCCCAGATCCCATGCTTGATTTACCCAGGAACTATGCTACCCAGTGTATGCGGACCCGGAGGGTACTGGGATACCTCTGGCGGTCCCTATAATCTGGCATGCTACCCCTGCCAGATGCAGCCTTTTGCTCCCTTCCTGAACCCACTATCAACTCCCAGTGTCTTCACCAAGCCAATTTAACTCACTCCCCTGGCAGAAACTCGTCCCCTTTTTGCTCAGCGTAAGTCTTCCTCTGAGTTGAGCTGTTGAATCAGCTCACAAGAGGCTCCAGGGTCTTGCGGAGCAGGCACAGGTTGCACAGCAGGAGCACGCACACAGGAGCAGGGACTAGAAGATGGGGTGAACCATGGCAAACCCACTGTGTGAGCTAAACCTCTGTACCTGCCTTTGCACAGCCATACACTCAAAAACCCCCCATGGCTCTTCCCCTGATCCAGCTCAGCCCATAGCTGGCACTGCTGCCGAAACCCATCTGGGACTGGTGGGGAGATCTCCAGACCCCAAGACACACCAGCAACAGCCAGGTAGCTGCAGAACAGAATTGCCGCACGTTCAGGAGCTGCCCTGTCCCTGCAGATGCTTTTAAAAACCTGGTAGTGAGGATTTTGCTTTGGCACCAGAATAAGACAGTCCTGCTGGGGCTGAAAGATTAAACCTCATGCTCCCTTCTTTTCTCTCGTCTTTCCTCCAGCCCCTGAGCTTCAGGGCTGAGTGGACACAACCCTGTACAGGGCTGGGGCAAAGGACTGTCCTGTCCATGCCAGGACTCGGCTCCCATGCCCAGGCTGGATGCTGCAGTACAAGCGCACAACCGGGAGCGCAGCCGGCCCACAGCCTGTTGCAGCCCGGCTCAGTGTGCAGAGACACAGGAAGGGGCTGGGACACCCGGGCTCTGCCCACGTCCAGTCCTGCCAGAGCCTGCAGGTAACGGGGAGTCCCGGGGCCAGGTGGGGAAGGAGGCTCCAGGAGTGTGTCATGGAGCGTAGGGTTGATCTTCATGGGTAGCCCCAGAGCTGAGTGCCCTGCAGGACTGCAGCTCAGTGCCCTGCAGCTCTTCCTGCTCTGGAGAGTGAATTGCATGGGCCTCCCTGGGGTCCCCAGGGCTGGGGGAAGGATGCCCAGCTTGGCTGGTCTGGGGCATCTGGAGCAGGTGGTTTGAGGCTGCGGTGGGAGCAGAATGGCCATGCTGTTAGAGGCAGCCGCATCCAGGGCTCGGGCTGCAGAGGGATGGTTGGAACCATCAAGTGCTCCGGTCCATGGGGACAGGTCCCTCTGTCCCCTCATACACTGTCTGTAGTGGGGGTGTTGACCAGGGGTGTTGAGCTGAAAGTGGCTCTTGTTTCAGAGGAAGTGATTTTCCAGGAGGTGGCTTCAAGGGCTTCACCAGAAGACAGGAGGACACATGTTGGCAAGCTGTCTGCAGGCACCATGCAGGAGAACTATGAGGCTACAGCCCTGCTAGGTAAGGAGCCCTTTTCCCAGAGAAAAGAGCTCTTTGGAGAGGTGGGAGACAGAGTGGGTGGGACGTGTCAGGGATGCTGACCCCTTCAAACCCTGCAGAGGAGAGGAACACAGCAGCAAGTGGTAGGAGGCACAATAGGTTGAACCTCCTTCTCCAAGTGTAACCATCAGAGGCTGCCCTGCCCTCTCCTCTTTCCAAACCCCAGGGCACATGGTTCCCAAACCAGATGAGAGTTTTCAGCTAGAGCACACAGAGGAGCCCTCACTCTCCCACCTTCCCACGGCCATCACCTTGCTGGTCACTGTCCCCTTTCCTACTCCAGTTAAATGTCACAGAGTCCCCTGAGCACTGCAGTGCCAGTGAGGCAGATGAAGTAGGTCATCCCACCACAGGCAGCTCTGGGGACATCCCTCCTCCTCAGGCTACGTGAGCAGAGATGCCATCTGTCGTTGGTGTGAACACTGGGGTTCTCCCCGCCAATGCCACAAGAGTTCTCCTACCTCTCCTCCCCTGTCCTGGGTGGGCCTGTCCTATCCCAGCAGACATCCCCCATGAATTTCCATCTATCCCAACACATTGCTGGCAATAGCCCTCTTTCCCAGTGTGCGAGGTCAGGATGGAAGGGCAGAACTGGGTCCCCTCACCCTGCTCCACTAGTCCTTCCTCACCAGTATGCATTTGGCTTTGTGCCCTGTTCCCTTCCCTTGCCATGACGTCTCCTCTTCCCACAGCACAGGGAATTGCTCCTGCCTGGATCCTCTCCCTCCCAGCTGGAGACAGGACAGCATGTGACGAGTAGGATGGGGATTCACAGGAGGCAGGACCGGGACAAGGGGAACCTCCTGGGTTAGCACTGGGGAGTGCTGAGCTGGGAAAAGCCAGTGAGAGCCAGGGCACCATGGAGAAGCAGGGGAACCTGCTGCGGGAAAGATAGGGAACATCCCCACTCTGGGGAGTGGGAGTTGGAGACACTGAAAAAAACATGATGCAAGCAGGGAACGGCACTAAGGAGAAAGTGTACGAATGCACTGGCTGCAAGAAGAGCTTCAGCTGTAAAACTTACCTGACCAGGCACCAGAAAACCCACGCCACAGAGAAGCCTCACAAGTGTCCAGACTGTGGGAAAGCCTGCAGTGACAGCTCAAGTCTCTTCTTGCACCAGAGTAACTGCAAGGGTGAGAAACCCTACAAGTGCCTCGACTGTGGTGAGAGCTTCAGCCAGAGCTCTGGCCTGATCCGGCACTGGAGAGTCCACACAGGCGAGAAGGCCTATTGCTGCCTGGTGTGTGGGAAGCGCTATGCTCGGAGGCCAGACCTCCTCAAGCACCAGCAAATGCACCCAGCAGAGATGCCCTGTAAGTTCCCAGGGGTGAGGAAGGGCTTGGGGTGTTGAATGGCAGGGATGGTGCTTGGGGATGGGTCCAATCTCTCTCCTCTCTCTTCTGCAGATGATGTGACAGCAAGTGAGGATGAAACCAGGATCCCGAAGCAGGAGATTTCTGGAGAAGAGGAAGAGCATGAGACATTCCCAGGAATGATCGGAGAGGATGTTCTGCATGGTCAGGAGCTGGAGAACCAGCATAGGAAAGAAAGGCAACAGAGAAGCCAGAAAGGGATGCTACAGAATAGATTCACCCTGCAAGGAGGCAGCCTAGATGATGGAAAGGAAACCACAGGACAGGCGCGAGTCTTTGCAAAAAAGAAGGTATATGAGTGCACAGAGTGTGGGAAGACCTTCAACTGGAGATACAGCTTGTACAGACATAAGAGGACCCACACTGGGGAGAGGCCCTATGAGTGCCCTGAGTGCTGGAAGACCTTCAGTGATCATTCAAATTTCATTTCCCACCAGAAGAATCACCGGGGAGAGAAACCCTACAAGTGTCTTGACTGCGGGAAAAGTTTTGGCCAGAGCACAACGCTGCTTTCCCACCAGAGAAGCCACACGGGGGAAAAGCCGTATCTCTACTCTGACTGTGGGAAACACTTTGCCCGGAGGCAAAATCTTGTTGATCATCAGAGCATCCACACAGGAGAGAGGCCATATGGCTGTCCGGACTGCGGGAGGAGGTTCCGGAGGAATACGGACCTTATTTACCACCAGCGAATCCACACAGGGGAAAGACCCTATAGATGTCCTGACTGTGGGAAGGGTTTCACTTGCAGATCAAAAATGAATGAGCACCAAAGGACCCACACAGGGGAAGCCCCATACAAGTGCTCTGTGTGTGGGAAACGCTATAAGGCCAAGGTCTCCCTGACGTCCCATCTGAAGCTGCATATGTGATATGGGCTCTGGGTGCTCTCAAGGTGGGTTGGTGGCTCTGTGCCCTTTTGGGAAATGGAGAGGAAGAACATGCTAAGTTCAGGGAAGGCCCTCAAAGGTTATTGGGTGGATGCTTGGTTTTTGCAGCAGTGAGTTTAGGACCTGGAGGTATGAGGACTTGGTGCTGTGTGATGGATCTTTCCCAAGCAGTGAGAACTGGTGATACAGCCAGTGGCAGTGACAGAAATGGCAGTGGCATACAGTCGTTTCTAGGGCATCACTCACCCTTAGAAGAGACCATGCAGGTTGTCTCTCCTTCCTGAAGCTCTTCATGTCCATGCAGATAAGGCCAGGGGACGTTATAAGGTTGGAAGGCAATGTGTGGGTGCCAGGAACATTGGATTTATCCATGGAGCCAAGGCAGAGGCCCAGTAGAAGGCCTGATGTCCTATAGTGATCCTTGAGAATGTGTCTCTGAGCAGCAGGAGAATCACCTGCCGAGGCCAAGACACCATGCCAGTGGGAACAGAACATGTGGGCCTTCTGGGGTCCATCCTCATCTCTCCCCTGGGGTAAATTTTGCTTTCACTCAGCTAGCAGTCACTCTTGGGTTTTTTCTGTCTGAATCACTCATTTTCAAGTTCTTGCCAAGTTGCTGGATACATTCCTGACTTCTTTCCTTGAGCTGTTTCTTCCATCTCAGACATACAACTTCAACTGTTTAACCATCAAAGGCAGATGCATCAAAATCAGATTTCTCTCTTTTATTTTTTTGGACTCAGAGATGGCTATGAGATTTGCAAGCACTTTTGAACATATCAAATATAACTCTTCACCTTCCAGTTCTGCCCCTTTTGCACATTACTGGACAGTCACATTAAAATATCTTAGATTTTCCATTATCTGTGTGCTTAGTTCTGGCTGAAACAAAACAAAACACACCTACCCCAGTGGCTTCCCAAGACTGAGCTCCCTGGCTCTTTCTGAAGCCATCTCAACCCCCCATTCCAGTTTGGTGGTGGGACAGGGGCACCAGTATGTCATGTATTTAAATGTTAGTATGACATTATGTTGCTGTGTGTGCAGGCATCAGCTGTTTATGGGACAGGGCACATCAAATTCCCACTTCCACGTGCTGTATCACCCCAAATACAACCCATGCCAGCGGCTGTTCAGCCTCCGGAGCTCTAGTTTGACCACCCAGTCCTGCCTTAATGGTCCTGGCCAGCCTCACCTGGGACCTCCACCCACACCCTGCCTGTGGCCCCAGGCTCTATTTAAGCTCAGTCCTGGGCCCTCCGCCTCTTCCCCGGCTTTGTCAGAGGTGCCCCCAAGCTCTGAACACAGCCAGCCCCACCTGCAGTCTGCAGGCAAGTGGCAAGGAAAGGGTTCAGCGTGAGCTCAGACTGAGTTGCACATTAAGAAACGCCCACACACTGGTCTTAGCATCTTCTAACTAGCCTTGGAAAAAGGCTTGGGGTGATCATTTGTCCAGCATGATGCAGATAGGCGCAAGGATTAGCAGAGTCTGCTCATACTGACCATCTACCAGCTCTCCGCCACCTCAGTGTCTGGGACCTGACCAGAGACATCAAGCATGGGGAGTTAATGGGCACTGACTAGGAGCTGGTTACACTTCTGCACCCATGCTGATGACAGCTGCATGACCCATGCATCTTCTATTTTAAAGCTGGACATCCCTGTCGTTCCAGACTTGCTGCTTTAAACCACCAGGTACTGTTCTGGCTTGTTTCTGCTGTCCTCCATGCTTTTTGCAGCACCAGCAACAGCACCCCAATGCAACATGATGTCTGGGCAGCAGGTTTTACCTACATATTTCAGTTCTACCTGGTCAAGCCTTGCCACTTCCCGGGTCTTTTTTCCACCAGGATTTCAAGACAAATGACTTGGCCCTGAACCGAGCATGTAGGATTCATGAGGCACGGCTAAATCTAGGCAAAAACTCCCGGAAAATCTCCCACAGATCATTTCAAGAGCTGCATTGAACTTGGTTCTAGTCTATGTTATTCCCATCAGCTGAATATCCAGCAGCCAAAAACTGCAGCAGGAGAAATCAGGGTGGTTAGGAGAACATGTGAGGGTGTATAGCTGCCGGGGTGGTTGTCTCACCTTTCAACTTACCCCTTTGTACTCTGTCTTTCCTGGTGCTGAGTCTTTCCCCGCCACCACTGAATTACTCCTTGCTGCAACATCTGCTGCCGACACCTCGGCTCTAGCACATGAGTTGCCAGCTGCTCACAGGTGGGAGGCTGTGGGACGTCTTTTGATGCTTCTTCGGAGATAACAGATGGATGTTTTAACGAACCGTTGAAATCCTGCATGCTGGTAGGGACACTTTTTCTCAATTGCTCAACAGCTTTCGCTTGCTCTCACAACATCGGCTTCAGGGCTGTGTTCAAGCCAGCATGAAGGAGGTTTCATCTGATCTGCTGCTGCTCCATCCCCACTGATCTGCACATGGAGCAGCCACATGTGCGTGTTCTCCCTGTTGCAAAAGCTTGCCAAGGTTTCTGCATCTAATGGAGTGCCCAACCTTTCTGTGACTTACTGAGTGTCAGCAAAGTATGGACAATAATAGACAAAGCAGCAGCCCCCAAATGCATCTGCACTTGATGCTAGACTTTCCCTTCTAGCAGCCTGTCAATGGAGAGGAGAAATGTCCTTTTCCTCTCTGGGACACATGATGAGGGAGAAAGCAGCTTCTCTTGGCTCCTTTGTATCTGTGCTGGCCTGCAACCAAAGCTGTCTCTTTGCACTTGCTCTCTGAGGGTTTCCAGAGCCCACCCTGGTCCTAAAAGCCTCAGCCCATTTCTGTGACTCAGATATGCCAACCACAAAACATCTGGATTCATGATTTCTAAACTCTGACAACCTTTTGCAGTTTGCTCCCCCCAAGCAGAGGTTGACACTGAGCTTCACGGTGGTGGCATCACATCGTGATCGGGGGGCTGGGGGTCACTAGGTCTCACCCCAAGCAGAGAGGGGATGGATACTGGAGATGCTTCCTGAGGATTTTGGGTAGCTTATTCCCTCTGCAGCCCCCTCTCCCCCCACAGCCACCCTCTCAAAAAGCTCAAGTCCCAGATCCAAAGAGCCTCCAAAGCTTACACCAAGGCATGACTCCTGAATTCTGCCTCAGAGAAGGTCTCTCTCCTGCCACAATTCAAAACCCATAGGAAGCAAGGTAAAACCTACAGAGACTGAAGATTAGAAGAATTTGCAGATGATGCAGGGTACCCGGATTGTCCTTCTGAGGTCTTGAGACTCAGCAGAGCAAGTGACTCCTGAGGAGGCACCATGGAAATTTCCTCTTTCATTCTGACTCCAAATCCCACAGATTAATCACTCTACAGACTGAAGACAGGACCGTGAGGGGAAAAGGGTTTGTTGAGGACTTTGTCCAGTAAAAATGCAAACCCCTGAAGAACAGTATGCAATACCTCCAAGGGTGAGGTTGGACTGGAGGCTCCAGGCGTCCCTTCTTAGCAGCATTGCTGGGAGTGCAGGAACTCTCTTCAGCCAGGGTGTGTGCAGAGGCTGGGGGCCCTCCCTGATCTGGGTGCATGGTGGTGGCTCCCCCCCATCCTGCCCAGCCTGGTAGTCCCAGGGCAAAGTCCTGTTGTAAGAGAAAAGTCCAAGAGGGGATTTCATAGGTCTAACCCCAATTTTATTCTGGAGGTTTAAATACAGGTTTCAACTGCACCTTTCAAAGGAGGGAAAGTCTTACATCCATATTGGCCTGAGAACAGCCTGACCCGCCAGCAAACTCAGGAGAGACTTTAGGTGAACAATTGCATATGAAAAGGAGGCTCAAAAACAACGGGAGCACATACAGCAGATGAGGATTTCTGATCAGGCTTTATGGCCGTGCTGTGTCCCTAGAAAAGGAAAGATACTGATCAGAGGGGATTTTATATGCATAGACCAAAAATAGTTTGAGAGCGGGCTTTTCCACCCACTTTGCCTGGCTCTGACTAAATCCAGCCTGAAATAAATCACCATGAATATTCAGCGCACGGTAGAAGTGCCGGGTCCTTCTGGCAGAGGGGCAGAAGCTTGCAACAGCACAGCCTAAGGACTTGCTGCTGAAGGAGGAAAATCAGCCTGGGCAAACTGGGGTTTGAGACTCTCTTTTAAGGCATTCACTATTTGGGTTTAATTTAAAGCTGCTGTGCTCGGTTATTAGCAGAAATAGTCACACTCCTGGCATAGCATCATCTTAGCAGGCTCCCAAGACCTGGGTTTGCCATGATGCTGTTTAAATCTCCGTGCTTTAAAGGGAAATGATTTACTTCCCAGATGTGCAAGGCAGCTCTGCAGCTCAGTCCCAGCTGTGCCTGTGCTTGGCCAAAGACCCCGCTGAGCTAGACCCCAATCTGCAGGCTGTGAAAGCAAAAGCAAAATTATCCCTAAAAGCCTTAATTCTCAGCAAGGTAAAACCATGTCCTCCCCCTGCCCACTGGCTCGGAGAGACAGATCCCCTCCTGGGAAGCTGCAGCAAACGCTCTAAGCCCAGCCCACGATCTGGGGAGCTGAGCCCTTCTCTAAAAATACAAGAAGAAGGAAAAAAAAAGCAGCTGAAACCCCACTCTGCAGTCTAGGAAATCTGTCTGCCCAGCAGGCAGAGATTGCCTTAATTAACAAAATGCAGCCATAGTAACTAAATTTGTCCTTCTGTCTGTCTGGGAGGGCAGATAAATATGCAGCCAGGGTTAAAATGCAGCACCAGTAATGTTATCGGTTGTAGCTCCTCTGACTGATGTTTCCATCCGAAATCCACCTGTGAAATGGATCCCAAACCACCACTATTACCAGGCCAAGGTGCTCGCGTAAGGGCCAGTCCCGATTTCAACCCACCGCAGCACAGCCATCAGAGCCAGGAGCCAACCACCACGTCACTGATGGAGCTCTCAGCTGTTCCTGGTGCTGCGGTATCCTCGCTGACGTGCAGCCAGAGGGAAAGCTGCTGGTGCAGGGCTGTCCTTGGTGACATGGGAAATGACTGGCCCAGGAGCTCAGCGTATCGCACTGTTGGCACGTCCAGGGTGAAATGCTAGACTTCATCCTTAGATCCCAAGAGGCAGGGGTTTTTTCTCCTTCCCGTTTCTTCACATTAAGTGAGACTTACTGCTTCATCACATCCCTCCGTCCCTGTCTGAGGGACAGCAGGAGCTCCAGTGACCACACAAAGACTGTTCAGGGGTGTTTTTCATTCTGCTGTGGGTTGTGCCTAGGATCCGCAGTGACTGCACTGCTTCTTCCACCCACACCCCGGAGGAACATGACTTGCGTAGCCCGAGCGTGTTCCTCCTCTAGTTCCCACCGGCCCCATCACTGAAATCCAAACTCTCTTTCCACCCACACACTCTGAAGAAGAGCTGTTATCCTTCCCTTATGAGGTGCCAGTGGTTTGAGACTGGATCTGTAGGTATTAGCTGGTCAATATGGGCTAATACCATTCTTGCATGGCAATGCTGCACCCCCCCATGCTTTCTACCCCGTGTGCAGCTTCTGGTGGGACATCAAAGACACCTTGGCCTTGTAGCTCTTTCCACACACAGAGCACTTGTAGGGAGACTCTCCTGTGTGGGTTCTCTGGTGGGCAATGCATTTTGAGCTCACGGTGAAGCCCTTCCCGCAGTCGGGACATTTATAGGGTCTCTCCCCAGTGTGGATCCGCTGGTGTCTCACAAGGTCTGAGCTGTTACGGAAGCTTTTTCCACAGTCCTGGCAGTTATAGGGTCTCTCGCCCGTATGGATTCGCCGATGAATAATAAGGTTTGGTCTCCGAGTGAAGTTTTTCCCGCAGTCTGAGCAGAGATACGGCTTCTCACCCGTGTGCAGTCTCCGGTGTCTAATGAGTGCCGTGCTTTGGTTGAAGCTTTTCCCACAGTCAAAGCACTTATAGGGCCTCTCTGACCGGTGGATCCTCTGGTGGGAGATGAGGTTGGAGCTGTCGTTGAAGCTCTTTCCACACTCGGGACACTTGTAGGGCCTCTCCCCAGTGTGCAGCCGCTGGTGTCGGATCATGCTGTTCCTCCAGTGGAAGGTTTTCCTGCACTCAGCACATTCATACACTCGCTCTTTATTACAGATCCCCACCTGGACTGTGGTCTCCTTGTGATCCTTCAAGATATCATCATGAGGATGCAATTCTCCCTGCCTCTGCCCAGGGCAAGTCTCCGTCCTCAGTTGATTTTTTAGGACTTCATCCTGCTCAGGATCCTGGCAAACATTTGCTTTTTCCCTCCTCAAGCCTGGTCCATTTGCTTCTGCTTGCTGGGAGTCTCCTTGGCAGTAATTCTCCTCGTGGTGGTCACCATCACCTGCTGATAGAGAATGCAGACAAGGCAGAAAGGAGCATCACAGGGAGGAAGGAGAAATAAGAGAGAAAACTAGATGCCTACTGTCTACAGTGCTTCACCTCAGAAGGAACGAGCCATTTCTGCTGCAGCATCCCACCAGAATGACCGAAGGAGTGAACTAATTGTAGGTGTTTTCCTGGAGGGGTGGGAAGTCATGACTTGCAGAGAGCCTGCCACGAAAGCTCAGGGAGCTCATGGGGCCGGGGTGGGAATGCCAGCTGTTTACCTCAGGTTGCAGGTCCTGCACTTGCTCAGACTCAGCCTGCACAGCTGCATCTTAAGCATTTGCTTTTTGCTGAGCCCCGAAGGAACAAGAGCTGGGGTTCCTCTTCCACATCAGGTCTGCGAACTGGGCAGTTTGGAGAGAAAGCACTTGATGCCCATGTTTTATAGCTATTCTCAGGTAAGTCAACTGGGCAAGTGACTGCCCTTGTGCGACTCAGACAGAAGGGTTTGCTGGGGAGGGCAGGTGGCTCTTGGGTGGGATGCGATTTTCCCTACCAAATATCAGGGGTCTCCACACCCCAGGAATCTTTAGCTCATGCACAACACAATTGTCTGTGTTGTTTTAACCCTGCTGAACCCTCAGTGTTTTCAAAGGCTAGGCCCACCCTGGGGAATGGAGCAAAGCATCACGTTCCTTGTAGGTACAGGAATGTTAGAGAAACAGCACAAACTTTGTTCGCTGTGTGTGACTCCATTTCCCCTCTTCCCACAGCTCTGGACCAGCATGCAGGAAATCATTATATAATCTGGCTGGAGGTATATCCAGCCTCCTCTGGCTGGAGGTATTTATGCCATGTTATTCAGAAGAATGAGTCCCTCACAGTTGTATAGCATCATATATCCAGGGAAGGGAGAAATTATGACCAGGAAATGCTACATTTGAGTAAGTTAAGATTACCCAGCAAGGCCATGGTCTCACAGCTGCCCTGCAGGATGCCCCGGGCTGCAGATTTTGGCTGCTCAGCCTCTTCCCCGCTGTGGACTCTCTGATGCACGATACACCGGGAGCTCACGCTGAAACCCTTCCCGCAGACGGGGCATTTGTAGGGCCTCTCGCCCGTGTGGACCCTCTCATGTCTCACGAGGTCGGAGCTCTTACGGAAGCTCTTCCCGCAGTCCCGGCACGCGTAGGGTCGCTCGCCTGTGTGGATCCGCTGGTGCATGATGAGGTTGGGCCGCCGGGCAAAGCGCTTCCCGCAGTCGGGGCATGGGTAGGGCCGCTCTTCAGTGTGGATGCCCTGGTGGGAGATGAGGTAGGCGCTCTGGCTGAAGCTCTCCCCGCAGTCCAGGCACTTGTAGGGCTTCTCTCCCCGGTGGATCCTCTGGTGGGAGATGAGGTTGGAGCTGTCGTTGAAGCCCTTCCCGCAGTCGGGGCACTTGTAGGGCCGCTCTCCCGTGTGCAGTCGCTGGTGCCGGGTCAGGTTGTTCCTCCAGTTGAAAGTCCGCCCACACTCAGCACATCCATACACTTTCTTCTTGGAGCAAATCTGCGGCTGGGCTTCGGTTTTGCTAAGACCATCTAGATTTCCCCCCTGGTGAGCGGGTTCTCCCCATCTCTTCCCCACTTCGTGTCCTTCCCTGCTTTGATTTTTGCAGGCATCGTCCTGCATCGGCTCGTCGTCCCCTCTGTCTCCCCACAACACCCTCCTGTCTTGTTCCACCTTCTTCTGGTCCTTTTTCTCAGGATTTCCCCTTTCTTTCCTGCATGTCCTCCCCTCACCTGCTGGGACAGAGAAGATCCTGACTGGAGTCATGCCTGGTCTGCAAAGAAGCGAGCTGGAGCTTGTAACAGCCCCTGCCAGCGTTTGCCTGCCCAGTGAGCTTTTTCCAGCGGTGGATACCCCTGGCAGAAGACACGGCCCTTTCCCCGCACCCTCCCTCCATGTTTACCCCCACAGTCCCCTTCATGGCTTCTCATCCCACCCCCAAGGAGCTTTTGTTCCCTGTCAGCCCCTGCCTGGAGTGCTGCTTGGAGCCAAACTAGGTCCAATCTCCCCCTGCAGGGAGCTCAGCTCCGTCCTGTGTCCTGGGGTCCCCGCGAGGTCTTTACACGCGGGGAGGGTCCATCACAGCAGCAAAGCTCACGTCTGCAGAGCGAGACTTGAGGGAAGAGCCCTTTCCTACCCCCAGGCTTGCTCCGGGAAGGAAGGGACGTGCCACATCCACGCGCATGTGTTTGTCTGACCCCTCTAAAATGACAGAGAAGGTCCTCGTCAACCCCGCCTCGAAGCTGTGGGGATGGGCGCAGGTGAGCGTGTGTCCTGGTGTGACAGGGCGCATCAGAGCAGGGAAGCTGCAGCCCGAAACAGAAAACGCCTCTGCCGAGTGGGGGGGGGGTGCCGGGCAGGAGATGGATCCTTACCGCATGCCGTCACCGTCTCGCATTTCTCCTGCATTTCTGTCCTTGAAGAGGGCTCTTTCCGGGGATCCGGCGCAGCTTGCTGCCTCCCAGTGAAGCACAAAGACCCTGCAAGGAGCAACGGCCCCACTTACCACTTGCTTTGGGGCAAGGAGGCAGCTTGAGCATTGCACCCCCCCCCCCCCCCCGCCCCAAAAAAGAACGGGGGAAATGGGTGTTTCAGGCTCTGGCCAGGGGCCCCAAGCTGGTCCCTTCGCAGGGATGGAGGATAGTGCTTGCGCAGCAGAAATAAGCCCATCTGCACCACTTGATCCCGGTGAGGGGTCACCCCAGCCTGCTTTCCCCCAGCTCTGGGCAGAACTGCACTTTGCACCCTACGAGAAGGGGCAGCCCAGTCCCCCGCGGAGGGACAGAAACATCCCCAGGCTGTGACAGCCCCGAGCCCTGCAGGATCTGCCGCCCCCAGGACACCCTCCCTTACCTGCACCAGGACGGTGCTGGGCTCTCCCCTCGCTCCCCCCCCGCCAGGG